TTGCTTTATAGATATTTTAAGACAGATTGAGTTGTAATATTTGTAACACCGAAATACTTATGTTTAAAGGAATTTTTCCAGTATTATAATTATTATTTTGGGTTTCAAATGCTTTATTGAAAATAAAGTTGCTTTATTTGATTTGTGATCCTGTTTTAATTGCTCAGATCAGACAAATTTTTTCTAATCCTTTATATATTGATATGTTTTTATATATTGATATGTTTTTATATATTGATAAGGAAAAAAATTCAACTCAACACATTTTTAAAAAATATATTTTTTTTATTTGTAGAACTTATAATATTGTAAAAAATGTTATCAGATGTTCTTTAGTTGCTATTGGTTTTAGTTGCTGTTGGTTTTGATTTTTATTTTTGTAATTTTAGGTTACTGCAATAAAGCGGTGTCACAAGTATTTTTATCATAACATTATAATATAATATTAAAGTAATATAAAGTTTTCTATGTGATTGCTGAGTACGAGAAGAAAACTAAAGAGTTTTCAAAAAAAGAAAAATAAATCAAGTAATTAAACTTTGGCGAGTCAAATTCGTGACTTTCAGATAAAGTGAATTACATCGGCGACCACTAAAAGTGAAGAGTAAGGAATTTCCGGTCGCCACTTTTTAACTATATAAATAATTTTAATTTAACTTAAATAGTGCATCTTGTTTGAGAGCCATTTTTATTTACTTGAACAATTGAAACAAAAAAAACAAAAAAAGGAATTTGGAATAAGCTGGAGTATAGGAAAAAGGAATTCAGGATAATCTTCAACAAAAAAGATAAATATTGCGTAAAAATAAAGAATGTTAACAAAAGGTCTAAAAAAAGAAAATTTTGTTTATTATCCTAAAGTGAGTTAAGCAGCGTAGAGTTGCTGTGCTTAAAAATATAATAATTTTATGTGACTCAAGACACTAAGGAATTGACATGTTGAAAATAAACACATTCAACCCCCAAACTTGCATCTAAAAAGCTACTACGTAAAATCCGGTAAACAACCTTTAATACGTTTTAATTTTATCAAACTAGAACTGAGATAAGCTGCTTATAATGCAAGATGCTTTTAAACCGATTTCAATATCTGCTCCCTTAAAGACCTATTGGTTAATAACAAAACAATAAAAGCGAGGAAGTAAACAGAATTGAAAATATTAAGAAAAAGCTCAAAAAATGTACGATTTAACCCTTGGCGTACGGTGAAACAAGGATGAATGAAGCATTTTTTGATGATTGAGATAGCTAACTTTGAGACATGGAGCAAACTCTAAATATTTATATGTTTATATTTTTGTCAAATAAAAAAGCTTTGAAAAAAATAACTACGATTAGAAAGCACTTTACTTATCCGCAAAATTGATCCTATTACTGCAAAAAATCGCCATAATAGAATCTAAATTAAAAAAAAAAAGAGGATAATACTTCTAAAATCTATAGAGTGATTACGGTAATACTACCTTATTCAGGACTATTAGACCTCAAAAACATAAATTTACGTGGTGTAACCGAAAAATTGACAAGATTACTGTGGTTTTACGGGGGCTTTTTTACCCATCGTGTTGGGTAAATTAAAACAAGTTTAGTGTTTTTTGTTTATATTTTCATTTCTTTTTTTTATAAAGCAAGCATAGCTTCTAGATTCTTTTTTAAATAATTAGATAAAAAATTACTTTTTATGTATGTTTTTTACGTGACAGTTAAAAACAATATATGCATTGTCTTTTTAAAATTCCTAATTTTTGATTTAAAAATTCACTTAAATTTTTAGTAATTTTTTAACTACTGAGTTTATTGAGATTAAAATAAACTTTAATTGATTAAAGAATGAGCTTTTTTAAAAATATCTTAAAGTTTTTTAGATTTAAACGATGAGTTTCATCTTTTAGAAAGAGATGGTTTGTTTATTTAAATATAATTTTTATAGATAAAAAGTGAATTGAATTGAAAAACTAAAGTGTAAAAAAGTTATTTAATCTAAAATATTATAAAAAAGAACTTTTAATTTACGCGTTTTTTGGCCACCTTATTTTTGAACTGTTTTTAAAGGAATAGGAAATGTTCTAAATAACTTTTCATGTAACTAAACTTTTTTTTTTTTTTCAAATAAAACAATCACGCTGTTTTCACAAAACTGAGGCTTTTAAAGTTTCCTGCTTTTAATCTTTATTTTAATTTAAATCTTATCAAAATTTTAATATTATTACAACTTTTCAGCACAGTACAGCTAATAGATTAACATGCACCTTTAATAACTTTTATTTTAAAGACGTTAATTTCTACTTTTTATATGTAAAAATAAAAAATTCTGATATTTAAAATTTTTTGACAAAACGAGTCATATTTATTTGGCGTTAATTAAATTGTTTCATTGCGCGAGGTTCATGCACACTGAAAAATAAACCGAATTTAATGATCACTAACAACTTAATTTATTTGTTTGTTGTAAAATGTTTCCTGAAACCTTAAGTAGTATATTTTTCAAGCAATTTTTTTGTTATTTATTCAAATACAATGAAAAATTTTAACGACCTAAATTTTTAATTCATTAACTGATGATTTGGGGGGAGTTACAATGGTTATCTATACTTTGTTTTACAAATATTTTTGAAATTACTTAGAATTTTTTTTCACACTCCTGAACAAAACCGACTGTGAATATAACACCCCGTTTACACCAAAACACGTTTACCGTAGTATAGTTTATAAAAAGCTGCTTAAAAGAACAATAATGCAACATCAGTTGTTGCATATTTCAGCACACTTCGAAAATATTTTATTTAAAAAAATGTATATAGAGTAAAATAATAAACTGATAAAACCATTGAAAAAAGGTAGTGGTTATTTTCTTACACCGTTTCTTTTAATCTGGTCTTGGTTTACTCATTCGTTTTGCTTTCAAAATGTGCAGGTGCTGAAGTTATTTGAAAGATTAGATGTTTCTTATAACTAAAAAGGAGGCAGTTATAACCTCTCTTTGCGTTAACAACCTCTCTGCAGCTAAAATATCTGAAAAAAAAAAAAAAAAAATTGTTTTTTTTAGCTTTATTTAGTTTTTTTTTAACACATTTTTTGCATTTTATTTAAAAAAAAAATGTTTACATAAGAGAAAAATGCAAAATTGGCAGAACATAGCAGAACATATAACAGTGCAGTTGCTATCAGTTGATAGAAATGTGAAAACCAAAGTTTGAGAGCGTTATTAACCCTTATAACCCATTGATTTGAAATAATTAGTCTCAGGAGATATAAGCACTAAATAATAACTTTTTATTCTTTTTGTACCTACTACCGTTCATAAATATTATCAATTGATTTGAATGTTGGTATGAATGCTCATAAATAAAATCTCAAAAAAAAATTCTTACTCTAATATATAGTATTTTTTCCGTAATATACTTCAGAGTGTTATTCTTTTATCTTTCCATTTGTCTATTACTTTTATCTTTCTATTTAAATTTTATTACATCTTTTTGATTGTTATTAATTTTCTGGCACATAATGTAAATAATACAAAAAAATAAATGTTGTGAGCTTTAATATGATAAAAAAATGATAAAAAGATTTGTAAAATGTAAAAAAAAATATGTAATTTAGAAATAAACGATATGTTTGAAAAAAAAATTAAACTAAAAGACTGTCAAAATTGTTTTTTTATTTAAAACAAGTTTTAACACGAAAATAACAAACAACTCAAAAAATAACTTACAACACGTTCAAGATACTTACCTATAATTTGTAAATATTTGTAATCAATCTGTAACAGATTCTATAAATAAAAAACGCTAAACTTTTGTTATTATTTTCAAACCTTCGGGCTCTTTCTCCGTATTAACATAAAATTGTTTGGCACCGAAATGAAAAATCAAAGCTTTTGCTTTCATTTTTTTCCTGAAGGTTTTTGACATTAGGTATCACAAAATAAAAACTATTTACCCACGGTTAAGAGAAACAAAAAGTAATTGTTTTCTGAATGGTTAAAAAAAAGTTATACAGATAAAGATAAATTTTAATATGAAAAAAAAAATGACGCAAAAAAAGATTTTGTTTCATAAAATCATTTAAGCTAATTTAATAAATCGAATTAAACTTTATAATTAATACAAACTATATTCGACGAAGTTTTATTCGTTTATATTTAAACAAATTATGTATATTAGGTTTTATTTGTTTGTTTCTTTTTAATCAACACCGAATGTATTTTCTTAACTTTCCTTTAAGAACAATATATTAAACGTATTTAACGCAAAACAATACACAAAAGAATTTTTTTATATATTAGAACAGATAAGATTATCTTGTCTAAATTTTTTATGTTTTAGAGGATAATTTTTAAAATTATAAAATAAAAATATATAAAATAGTGATTAAATAAAGTTAATCATTTTTTAAAACTTTATAAAAATTTTAACGTTGAATGATGAGAAGCAAGTATTTCCAAAAAATATTGTTTACAAATCTTTTTCTCCTCAAAAGAAAAGTACGTACAAAATGTAGTGAAAATTCTAGAATGGAAGTAAATTTTGCTTTTACAGTAATATTTTTCTTTTTTAGACACTTTCATTTCTGAAAGATAAAAAGAGAAATATATTTAAAAAAATACTAAAAATGCTTCATAAACTGTATAACTTTTAAGAATCTTTTTTTTCTTCAGTTTTTTAGAGGGAGGAGGGGGATGAAGGGGGCGTTCAAAACCTCAAGCCACGGCACTTAATTACATATACGAAAATGTATATAATAAACAGTTTAACTAATTAAAAATATATAAGAAATCTAAACGCAAAAATCATCAAAAATGCGATAAATATCGATAAACGCGATAAAAATGTACACATTCAGTAGACAAAATAGCGCTTACAAAAAAAAAAAAAAAAAGTGCAATATAATTTTTCTTCTCTTTTAATTTAATGATACATTTTTAGTTTAGTAATAATTTGAAAAATTTGAAAGAATTTGGTTGAATAATACGCTTTGTTATTTCACGCATTCCAGCTTAACACATACAAAATCAATTGTAGGAGGAAGATAAAAATACTTTCATCATCTGATATTTGTTTGATTGAATTTATCGTTTCTTTTTAAAAATTGATAAGTATGCGCACTTCATTAATTATCTCGATTAATATTTATGGTAATTAGCTTTATTAACAAGTTTTCAAGTATTTGTCGTGTAGGGGTATGTTCAGAAAATAAAACAATTATTCAGCATATGGTTAATAAAAACCTTAGGTAAATATTTTTTTTTAATATAATTTGAAAATGAAGCTAAAGTTTAATATAGACGCATATAATAACTGGATTATTCTTATTAGCATAATCATTTAGTTTTTTTATATAAATTATTTAACATTTATTTATTCTCGCTAACTATGTATTAAAATATTGGTTTCTTAATTTAACAAAAGTTTTTAATACTTGAATGAAACTTAAAATAATAAATTTTTTTTACTTGAATTCATCCTTACTTTGCATTAATTTTGTATTATGGCGTCCTCTTTCAAACACATATTATGACCTCATCCTCAAACACATATTCCAACTTTGTCGTGCTAATATATCAACAATTTATATAACATTTGCAATCAAACACATTTTCGTGTTTTAAGACTTCGCATTAAAACACATAAATGCATTATTACCATGATTTTGTCATCAAACTTATTATAAGACATACTTAACTTTGATGAGTTTGTTTTTTTTTATATATAAAATTCTTTTGTTTGTTTTTCAGTGCTAATCAATAACTGAGAAAATTTAATTTAAAAAAGTATATTATTTCCAAATTTTGAAAACAGAGGTAAAAATAAACTTTATAATTAGGTAATGCATATACTAGCGTTTTGGTTATACTTACATGAATGGTTGAGTGGAATGGGAGTATAAATATCTGTAGTCCCCATTTAACACTTTAAATAGCTTTTTAATTTTACAACCTTCCGCACACACTTTTGCCAAATGTTCATATCTCACGGGCAAAATTTGACTAACTTTCCAGTAGTTGCTATTTTTTGAAAAAGGGTTAATCTTAACTTAATATTATTATATATTATATTTTTTAAGCGAAATATGCTTTTTAAGGTTTTATTGCTACATACTTATAAAATAAACCATATTTATTTAATAATCCTTGAAAAGATAAATTTTATGTTATATTCTTTATATTTTTATTTTACGCTCATAAATTATATTTTTTTAAATTTTGTGTGAAACGTTTTGCAATTCATTGGGCGGGGTTAACTTTATTATTTTTGAGAAAAACTAATCCGGAAATTCCATCACAGACAGAAAAGCCTCAAACGGCTGTAAAAGCGTTAGGTAATGAGTTATACAAAAAAAAAAAATTAAAGAAGATTAAGAATCCTGTAAATAATATGAATAGATTTTAAAAGGTTTTCAAAACGAATTTTATCAGATGAAAAAAAGGAAGCTAACCGTTCTTTCAAAATATTTTTGTTAGGATATAAATACATGCTTTCAAGAAAAAATTTAAACATTATAAATACATGCTTTTAAGAAAAAATTTAAACTTTATAAATACATGCTCTCAAGAAAATATTTAAGTTTCTATTAATTTTTAGATACAAATAATGGAGAAAAACTGTAAGAGAGAGAACAATAGACTAATTATGGTACTGGCATTAATTATGTGCGTAAAAAACAGCAATACCGTAAAGAAAAGCAACGATTCGTTGTTAAGTAGACCCAACATTATATTTATAATGGCTGATGATTTAGATGTGAACCTAGGATCAACAGATGTTTTGAAGAAGACAAAACGTCTATTGCAAGACGAAGGAGTAACATTTACTAACGCATTTACAACATCTCCTTTGTGTTGTCCGTCTCGTTCTTCAATACTTACAGGTAGATACGCCCATAACCATAACGTTAACTCGAATGATAAAAACTGTTCTGGTCCTGCTTGGATTGATGGCCCGGAGAAACTGAATTTCGGAAAACTTTTACAAGATTCTGGTTATGTTACTGGTTAGTTAATTTTTTTTTTTTATTTAAGTGTATTTTATTTTTTTCACTGCTATATTTTTAAAAATTACAAAAAAATAAATGTTCAGCATCTTTCCGCCTGCAGTCTAGTACTGATTGGTACCGCGGTAAGAAAAACACAATGATATTTTTTGTGTTTTGTGAATCCAGTATTTTGACCTCAAGCCTATATTGTGTTTTAGATATTATGATCTAAAAATTGTTTGATTATATTTTAAAAAATAACACTTTAATCAAAAACTGTATTTAAATAAATTAAATGTTGATGTTATACTTACTTTTAATTCAATGAGAATTCTATTAGAAAATAAAAAATGACAAAATTTCGAAGTTTCTCAACTATTTCTGAACTGCGAGACTTTTATTATGTTATAAATCATCACTTTCGAAAATCCTCACTTGCATAATTTAAAATCCTCACTTGCATAATTTAATTTACTTGGATAGTTTAGATTACTTTATAATTCACTTACATAGTTTAAATCACTTGCACAGTTTAATTGACTTGCTTAATTTAATTCACTTCCATAATTTAAATCACCTGCATAGTTTAATTTATATAACAGTATATTTGATGCGGTGCCTTACGGATTTTTGCTGACTAAAAAAAAAAGATCCTCTAGCTCCCTAGTTTGGCGATTAGAGATAAAGAATCCAAGTCCCATTTTGCCGACTGAATCAAAAAAAAGTTCTAATTTGCCAACTGAATGTCCTAAGTCACCAACTAATGTTATAAAAATTATATAAAAGGGGAAGAATAGGGGTGTCACACCTTAAAGTATAGTTGGCAAATGTCAAATATCGAGGACTTTTTTTAATGTCTCTTTTTAATGTCTTTTTTTAAATAACACATACGACACCCCCTCCCCCATGATAGACCACTTCGGGACGGCCCTGTATATATATATATATATATATATATATATATATATATATATATATATATATATATATATATATATATATATATATATATATATATATATATGTATATATATATATATATGTATATATATATATATATATATATATATATATATATATATATATATATATATATATATATATATATATATATATATATATATATATATATATATATATATATAGCCATATATATAGCCATATATATATATATACATATATGGCTATATATATATAGCCATATATATAGCCATATATGTATATATATAGCCACGGGACTGCTCACACGCATTAAACACTATTTAAAAAACGTTTTTGGCAATGACATCATTATAAACAATAACAACTAACAAAATAATAACTTAACGAGCTAATCGATTTAATTTTTACGCTTTTAGTCGCTTTATGGTATTTCAAGAGACACCAAGTTTGCGAACTAAATAATAAGAAAAAATTTTTTTATTGCGTATGTAAAAAAATATTAAATTGGTAATAGCACTACGCAGCTTAAATTTAATAATTGCGCAACAGCTATATTACCGCATTCGTCTCATGCAGTTTTTCTATAAAAGAAATACACTTGCTGGTGCCCACTGAAAGCCTTAGACTTAAATACCCTAAATAGAAATTTGAAGTAAACATGTTTATACCTCAAATATTTAGGTTAAAAAAGTTTCCTTTATATTTCTAGAACGGTTTAAAAAGATATAAAGATAAATGCAAATTATAGTTGTTTTGCATGTTTTGAATAAACAAAATGCCATCCATAGTTGAAATTTGTTTGTAAATTTATATACATATTTTAAGTATGGATAACATTGTTTTAATGCTTTTATGTTTGATGACAACTTAGGACGTCACCTAAGAAAAATGACATCATAAATGCAACCTCAATAATGTTAATAACATTTAAAAAACATTAAAACAATAACATTTAAAAAAACAATATCATTTAAAAACAATAACATTTAAAAAACATTTAAAAGTAAAATAACATTTTTTTTATGCCATTTAAATACTGTTAAATAATGAATTGTGTTAAATAACTTTTTAACTGATAACTCAGTACTATTTTTTATCAATAATATTTTTGTAAATTAAGATAGTAAACTTACAGAAATGGTATAAATAATTTTTTTTTTTGTATGGTTATTGCGATGACGACCTCATTTTAGATTGTAAACTATAGCTTTTCTTAGTATATTTTAAATATATTTAATACACAAAACTCAGTGCTGATTTGCACAAGGTAGTTAATGCTGTTCACTATTGGATGGTTTTAAAAAACCCATCTGAACCATACAAGTGTGAAATCATGGATGGTGAACAAGAAGATGTTAATGATCAGAACATTGTTCAAAGGTATCAAATTTAAATGTATCACTTTTTGAAACAGGTTTAACTAATAGGTTGAGAATTGCATGATTGCTATGTTAAGCAAGTTTTCTTAACTGGTGTAATATGTGCTTGAACAAAAATGAACAAAATCAAGATCACATAAGCATAATCTTTTTGCTTATCTACACTATTACATTCTCTTCTTCTGTCAGATTCTGCTTATCGTATGATTAGCAGAATCAACTTACAATCTACAGCCAAAAAAAAAAAAAATTAAAGTTAAAATAAAAATTTTTATAATTAATAAAAATATTGAAACAGCTTATAAAACCCTCGGACATAAAAAACCCACTGCAGTTGTTTGTAAACTTTTGTTATTGATACTAAAGTATTACCATAAAAGTTAATTTTAATCTGTTTTTTAAATGATAAAGCAATTTTAAACTAATTATAGCTTATTTTGGCAAGTATTTGAACAATTACAATGGTGATAGAGTGCCACCTGGATGGAATCATTGGTCTGGGTTAGTTAGAAATAGTCGGTTTTACAACTATTCTCTTAATGTTAATGGAAAAATAGTAAAATATAAAAATGATTACAAAAAAGACTACTTCACTGATGTTGTAACCAATGCTTCAATTGATTATTTCAAAAATGTTAAAAGTCAGACTTTATCTGCTCCTATAATGATGGTTTTATCTATGTCTGCACCACATGGTCCAGAAGATAGTGCCCCACAGTATCAGGATTCTTTTAAAGATATCAAAGCACCAAGGTATTAATAGTTTAAAATATTTTTAATATTTAATATTTTTATTTATTTTTAAGCTTTGTAAGGTTCACTTTCTCTAGGAATGAAGGGTTACTTTTTTATTGTTTATAGACACCCCAACTACAACTACACATCTTCAGATAAGCACTGGGTAATAAGACAAACACCACCATTAGATGAAACCACAGCTTTGTTTACTGACATTCTTTATCGGAAACGTTTACAAACTTTACTTTCAGTAGATGATGCCATTGAAAAAGTTTACAACATGCTCCTTCAAGTAGGCCTTCTAGACGAGACTTATATTATCTTTACATCTGATCATGGTTACCATCTTGGGCAATTTAATCAAGTCAAAGGAAAGTCACAGCCATATGAGTCTGATATAAGGATACCATTATATATGAGAGGACCACATATTCCCAAAGGTGTAAAGTAAGCCTGTTGATTGTTATGTATTATCTATAAGTTACAAAGAGTTAAATTGATTGAATAAAATAATGATAACTTTTATTTAGCATTTCATCAATTGCATTAAATATTGATCTTGCACCTACTTTTCTTGATATTGCAAATGCAAACTTTCCTAGCTTCATTGATGGTACTAGTTTAATGGATCATGCTGCATTGAGTAAGACTAGAAGGCAAGTCTAAAAACTTATTAATTTTTATTTTATATTGACATGTTTTTTCTATTCAACATTATTTTTATTAATGTTGAAAATAATTAGTCATATAATTTATTGATTGATAACTGAGAAAAAATATTTTGACTGTTGTAAAGTTGTATCTTATAAAAAATATGGATTAACTAGGAAAGAAATTTTTAAACTTCATTGGCAAAATTATTCATATGAACTAAACAATAACTTGTATAACTGAGAAGGTACTGTAAAGAAAATCATTGTTTAAATAAACTCTCTGCATATCATATTGGAAACAACTTGTTTTTTAAAAAATGTCCTGCAGAAACTACTTGCATTTTTGAAACCACCATACTTTTTTATATCTTTTGAAATCACTTTGTCATAGATATTTAGTCTTCACAATAGGTTTCTAGAGATAGTAGAAGCTTTAAATTTTGTGATATTGATGCTGTTGTCAAATAAAAATATTTTCAAAAAAGTTATAATGATTAAAGCCTGGGAACAAAATTAACCAGAAAATTTGGTTCTCAGTGTCTTAAATGTAAAAATAGATTTTTTTTAAATAAAATCAAAATTCATAGGGAAAGTTATAATATCATCAAAAATTTTCTGATCATTTGAACATTTTTTTATCTACTGCAATAAAAAACATAAATAGTTTAGTATTGCTCAGATTGTTTTAAAATGCAAAACAGTTAAAAAACTAGGAATGTAAAAATTAAATGTTTAATTATTATTTAGTGATACTGATAAGTATTTATACATAATATTTAAGTACTTTTTAAAATTGTTTGATTTAAGCAATAAACATTTTTAATGGCATCTGTATTAAATGTAGAAAAGCTTTAGAGAGTCTTCAAAAAAGAGATATAAACATTATTATGATTAAACCATATGATTTCTTAAAAATCAAATAAGTATCAGAAACTAATCATTCTGTGTCTTTTTTTGTTGTTGTTGTTTTTTCCCTTTCTTTTTCCAAAAACTTGGATTTTTAAGTCAGGAAAAAAAGCTTATGTATATACACTATAAAAAAAAAAATTAATCTGTGTGTGGAATCCATACACAGATTAAGTCATCTCCCAGGGGCTATTCTAGACTGTTTAGATAGGGCTGACCGTATTTGGGCGCCGATTTAGGCGCTGCCCAAATTCAGAAATTGATTTTTTTTTTCTTATAAAGAAAGTATTGTTTTTCGCAAAAAAAAGCAGACACAAGGCAATGTTTCCACCAAATTTCCTACAGCAGTCGCCAACACTGGGGTACTGCCGCCCAAAATATTTTCCTAGAATAGCCCCTGTCTACACTGACTAAATTATTTAAGCTTTTTAAATTAACCATGCTATTTGGTTATTTCAATTGAAATCTGATGATGATGATCATTTACATAATCTTCATAATTTTTTTAGACACTTCATTTGTGGACATTTTAGTAGTGTAAGCAGTAATGTTGTAACTGTCAGAGAAAGTTTAAATTTATTTATTTAATTAATTACAGACAAAGTTTTTTATTTTATATTTTTTTAAATGCTTTTTGGTATAAGGTAATTCCATATCAAATGAACTAGAAATTTTTTTAAAAATGTCACCCTATATTTCAGATTTTGCTGATTTTTATACAGTTCAGAGTGCTTAGTAAAATAAGAGTTCCTTGAAAATTTTAGCCTCTAGCTTCAATGAGATCTTGAAATACGATCATTTTACTTTTATTAGATACTGGCCGGGCCTCTCTTGTTCCATTAAAATTTCAACATTTGTTTAGAGGTTTTAACTTCAAGAATATTTGATCTTTTTACTTTGATCTTTAATTTGTACCTGACTGTTTTTAATGGTGACGAATCCAGTGAAATGATCAAAAATTATTATTATTATTAATTACCTGTTTTTATCAATTTAA